AATAACACAATCGACGAGGTAAAAAGTAGAAAACCTGTGACACAGGTTGAACAAGAGCCAGTATCGTCAGATACCACTGATGAAGTAAAAGACGAACATGAAACTATTATTGACAAACTTCGACAAAAAGCCAGTGACACAGCACAAAAAATGATTGACAGTATCCCATCACTGACAAGTACAAAACAACTTTCGTCTGCTGAAGCTAGTATACCATCAGATTCCATTACCCAAGAAGAAGAGAAAAATGTTCAAGAATTAGGAATTTTCTCCATTAAACAACAAGAATCGGGACCATCATTTGAGAGAAGCCTTATTACCGCTGAAATAGATTCGCGCTATGACTCCTTGATTGAACATATTGAAAGTTTGCGAAAACCAGTGGGGGAAAATGAAACAAGCATCGTCAGAAGCGAAATTCCTGCATCAAAGTCTCATCTATTAAGTACAGTTGAAGTAAGCCACAGATACGACAGCTTAATTGAAAGAATCGACGGTTTAGAAGAAGCAACTGCGAAAAGTCTGAAAGGAACGGAAAGAAGAGATCAACTTGACGAAGTACAAAATTCATCTAATGAAATCATTATGGGAGAACAACTCCAAGTAAAACCCACTATTGAAACGGTAAGTAGAAAATTGAACAATCTTAGCTGGAATGTACGCTGTACCTAGCAGAGCTCCGTATGGACAGGGCTGAAAGTTTTTTGAGCTCATGGACCCGGACTGGACTGGACTCAGAATTTTGAGTCCATACGGAGCTCTGGTATCTACCAACCTCTTTGATACCAAGATCGGACAATAGGATATAGAGCTGTGGAATGAAATGAGTTCGGTAGCTTTCGTTCGAACTAGCTGTCTTATACCTCATTAACAGTTTACTCAACTATTTGTCTCAATGGCGCGATACATCTTACAGCTATGAAGAATACCCCAAAGGAGAATGTATTTTTTAAAAATTGGCGTCGGCTCGATTTCCGTAAAGAGATTTCGTAGAAGTTCAAACTCTAGTGTAGTCAGTCTTACTTGATTTCATACTATTAGTGTTGAGATGTTTAAAAATGCAGGCGAATGAAATTATGCATAATAAAGTACGTAATAAAGTACACGCGTGTTTGTAGAAAATACACCTGTGGAATAAGAGATATATTTGTTTTTGGATAAAATTAGAAAAGATCCTGATGAAAATGCACAATGGATCCCGTCTACAATATGTTCATTAATAAACTTGTTTTCTTAGGAACAGCTCCCAATATACAATGATGACATATCTACTGATTTGATGCAACAAGAACGGCTAATGGATGGAAGTATTCCAGTGGAGAATACATCTGGTTCTGCTTCACAACAAAATGTTTCTATTCTCACTATCGCAAAAGAAGAGAAGCCTAATGATCAACATGAAAGCATACTTGACAAGCTGAAACAAGCTGTTAATGACACTGCTCAAAAAGTCATTGATAATATCCCATCGTTTCATACAAGTACGAATCAAGAGCAAACTATATTACAGAATGATGCCAAGACAGCACATTTAGAATTAAAGACACCAATTGAGCAAGATGATCAATCAAAAAACCTAAAACAATCAAATATAAACACCGGATCTACCCCAGATTCAACAGCGGCACAACAACAACAGCCAAGTCTATTCGAAAGTATTAGACAAACTATCGCTACTCCGTTATCTACAGTCGCTGAAACCGTGCAAAAAACGATCGATATTCTTCGAACTGCGCCAGAGGATAATGAAGTAGAGCACAATAAACACGATGATACACAAGATATCTCTACTGAAGATAACAAGAGTATTTTAATCTCACCTTCGAAAACTGAGAGAACATATCATGAAGTTCCATCCTATAATCATTATGCAGTACGAGATGCTGAGCCATTGTTAGAAAATTTCATCAGAACTAATGTATTGTCGAATGAAAAGAAAGTCGAAGATGACCTTCCTGTAAAAGAAGGGATAATTACCAGACCATCGACACAGATGCAAGTTTTAAATGACACTTATCCGTGGTACTCTACATATTCCGAATTGATAGAGACAGAAGACAAGCTCAGTCTCGTTTATGAACAATTGTCAAAAACTCTTGATTCTATTAGCCAACCAAGAGAAACAGTTGTATTTCAACCGGAACCGTATAAACGACTGTCTATACCAGATTATGATCAACACGTTTTATCAGATACCTCTGTGACACTGGAAAAAGTACACAAATTGGCGGAAATAAGTAATCAAATAACGAAGGTTCCGTCTTTTAAACGAGACGAAATAGAGTCGACACAAACGCAACAACCAGAGAATACTATTAAAATCAGTACGATAGAAGTTGATGACGACGGCTTTGTACCTGTTGTTCGTCATCGAAAACGTACAGTATCATCTACACAAGATAAATCTGAGCAACTGGAATCGGCTCAGTTTCGAGATAAAAAATCAGTGATGATCTCAAGTGATATTGATCTGAAACCGGTCATCATTGGCCATCGACCAACATTAACTACACCAGCTAGTGAAATTGTTCATGAACTAGAATCAGTGTCATCAGTAAAACAGCCGCTTACTGCAACAAAAAACAAAAAACAAAAAAAGAAACATAAACATGATAAAGAAGATATTTTCTTCGATGCTCCACAACCGGAAATATTACGTGAATCCGTCTCAGAGAGTACAATTACACCATTGTCATCTGAAACATCAGCACCACAGCAGACGAATCTGACTAAGGATCCTAGTTCAATGCAATCACGACCACATAAACTAAGTGATTTTGGCGAAATACCGACTGATATATCGGCACGTGTAAATTCTGTCAAGCAAGAAATGGAAGAACTTGACGAACAATTGAAGCAAGCAATTCATAAAAACAAAAATGAAGAACAAAGTAAATTAAAACATCTTCTCAATCAGCAGCAGTTACTTGAAACAAAACTAATATTTTTAGAACAATCAGTTCATTCGATGGACATAGTTAAAATGGTGAGTAAAATTAATTTATTTTACCTGAATAGCAAAATATACAGTTGCAAAAAGTATCCTGAGTGAAAGACGTTTCTTTAATGCACATCTTTTTCACAAGCTTTTTAGTGCTATGCTCCTAAGTAGCGTAGCCATCTATCAGAATTTATCTGATATAAAACACAGAAGTCTGCATAAAAATTTACTGTTTGTTTATAAATACAGAAGAAATAGATGACCACTAGCAGAGACACAATGATTTTATAAACTTCGTCCTACCAGATCAATTCTAGCACATTAACAGAAATTCGAAAAAATCACAGAGTTATAAAAAGAGCTGACACGACATCGTAGCGGCAACCAAAACTAAATGGCTACTCTTAAATGTTTAACTTTGAAGTGAGTAATCAGTCTGTAATTTAGTACATTGCATATGTGGTAGGTAACGAGATAAAACGGATGTTTTCGGTACGAGCTGATATCTATTATTAAAACATACAATAGTGTTCATGTTGTCGTGGTGCACGAATATTATATTCTCTAGACACTAATGGATAAACTCACTTACTTATTTAAAATCTTTGTTTTTGTTGCAGCCAGTCACTTCAGTGAATGATAGATTGTCCTCAAATTCAATACCTACAAGTAAACCTAACGAAACCTTGGAAGATAAAGAATATCAACAGCAGCCAAGTACTCCTGAATCTGAGACTCAACAAAGTATCTTAAAAAGTATTCAACAAACTGTTACCACACCTATCTTAGCGGTTAGTGAAACAATACAAAAAATCGTTTCTGATGTCGTACCGTTTTCGACGCACAGCACACTCAAAGATGAATCACAAGCTTTAGTAATACCAAAAGATACAAATTTGCAACCTTCGAATGTACAAGTGCAAGAAAAGAATAATGAAACCAATATATCTGAAAACTATGTAGACAATCAAACTAATCAAGGATCTATTTTTACAAACTTGAAAGATTCGATCAGTTCCACTTTGTCTACAATAAAAAGTGCGGCTACCGATATTTTACAACCAACAGACAGCAACGAACCATCGGAAAACAAAGATGATACGCCCAAATTGGAACAACAGGAAAAAAGATCAAAGAAAAGCAGAAAACAAAATAAGAGACCTATCTTAGACGTATCACCAACAACTATCGTACGTCAGGACAATGGAAATTTATCAAGCGAAAATCCAGCTATTTTAGAAACGAAAACGGATCATTTGTTGTCTTCTGTTCAGTCTGAAAGTCAGAAAATACCGGATAAAGAAGTGTCAATCATCAATGAAAACTTCGTATCCCAATCCAGTATGCAAGAAAAAGCCGATGAATTATCCCGCATGCCAATACATTCTGAAACATTGCTCGAGCGTCCTAAAGAAGTGCTCGAAACAGAAGAAGCCACCTCAGAACACAGAAATGCAACTTCTCTTCAGCTCGACAACAATCATTCCAAAGCTAATTCATCTCCTATCGGACGAAAATCTGATATTAATGAGCAAGAATCACTTTTAACGACTCTCAAAAAACAGATTACATCCACCGTGTCTACTATAGCTAGTTCAGTGATGTCACCACAAGATTCAAAAGATGCTGTTAAAAATGAAGTGTTTCACGAAGTTAGCGCAGCAAAAGAGAAAAAGAACAAAAAAAATAAAAAACAGAAGAAAGAGTTAGTTTCAGATCTGTCTACTCCGACCGATGGTTTATTAAATAAAGAAGACTTTAAATCTGAAATACTACCTTCTAAAACTGGCAACCAGGAACTCGAAAAATTACAAGATGCTCCATTCTCGTCCGTTTCGTACGATAAAGTAAAAACCATGGACACACCAGTATTAGCGGAAGTAATTGGAGAAAATAATCGACAACAAGTCGACTTAGTCGATAGTAGTACAAGTAAAAGTGATGGACAAAAACCTTCAGATGAGATCATCATCACCACTCATCAGTCTGAACTACCCTCTTCGAATAAACGAACGGATACTTCTGCTAAAAAAACGAAAAAGAAGAAGGTACCCGCAAACACAGAACTGGGCGTAGAAAGCAGTACAATACAAGACTTATTACAAAGTCAAGATAAACAAGATGCGGTTTCGACAAGTATAACAAATATTAAAGCAGATGAAGTAAAACGGACTAGTGTAAGCCCAATGAGTTCTATAACAGCTACCGAGTCTTTAGAAACACACGTGGCTACGCCTCCTACACAAAGTACTACTTCAACGATACCTGAACAATCTCCTGACGACAGTTCAAAATTTGTAACAACAACGGACGACTCAGAATGGAAAATTCAAAACAAGGGAAAATCAAAATCATCGAAGAAGAAAGATGAAAAACGTTCTTTACCATTATCTATGAATTTGTCTTCCACTATTGATCCAACCCATAACCAGTTATCAGAAAAAGTCAGTGATACGAGAGTTCAAGCTGACTCCGATGATGAATCAACCGTTACGCCTACAAACAGAATTCAGATATCTAGTCCATCCGATCACACATCTGGTATAGATGCAACTGTCGTTACCAAAAAAAATAAAAAGAAGAAGCAAAAATCTAAGGAAATATTATCTACAAAACTGTCTACTTCTCCAGAGTTTCAAAGTTCTACAATAACGTCGAATCTATCTAATCAAGAAAATCAAGCATTCCCCAATGATGATATTAAACTTAAAACAAAACCAGCTCCTAGTTCCACATTACCTATCATCTCACAACCAATGAGTTTACAATCACATCTTAATCAAGAACCAACAATAAAAACAACAACTACAATAGCTTCTGATAAGAATGGCGACGAACAACAGCTCAGGTAATTATTAAAACTACTTCTCGAACTTATAGATTACATTTAAACAATTTCACACCTCCTAAAATCACAGTTCATCTTTTTTATTCTAACAATGAGATCAAAAACATCTAAATCAATTAGTTAACGCCACTCGTGAGATTGTTGAATCCCTCTTTTTTCCATCTTGTACCACCTTTAATACTTCGAATGATTATAAATGATTGATGAAAGTTTCCATCATGACCCGTTTACATAATGGACTTTAACCTCTGAACGTCTGGTTCAAATCGACTGTATAATATAGAATTTTTATGATTTAGGGAGCACAATAAACACCTATTGACAGATCAGACGACGTACAACGATGCCCTTCTTCACACGGCAGTTGAAGACGATAAATCAGCTTCTAAATTATCGAGTGAAACTGATACAACTGGAGAAAATGATATTAGTTTATCGTCATATCGAGATGATTTGGGACGTTTACGTAGAAAAAAGCCAAGAAAACATACAATTAGTTCAAGCAAGCAGGATGATGAGTTATCGCAAGACTATCAGAACTTTGTAACATCAGCGACAAAAGATGATGACAATGATGATGAAAGTCCTGAAAAACAGACAATTAGTGCACATTGGGCAGATGCCATTGCTGGTGGCGAAGATCAATCCTTCGACGAGTTACAAATGATGGATGCCCATACGATCGAAAGAATCGACAATAGTGAAACAAATAGTAAATTCGATTCTGTTTTACCTGATTACATGAAACGTCCATTTCCGAACCGTTTCCGTATCGATAGTGAGCGTTTACCGTCATATGATCGCGATATATCATCCCCACGTTCCTCTTCATTAACGGCCGAAAGAAAACCATTTGAAACTTCTTCAGAAAAAACGCTTCATTCTAAAAATACTATAGCATCTGAGCACCCGCTAAGACATGAGTTACTTTTAAAATCTCGACGAACTACTGATATAACGTCCTCACCTTTGTCAACCGGTTCGGATACATCAGAAAATGAAACTAGAAAAATTAGACAACGCCGTAACAGCAGTGAACGGAGTGAGAAAAGCGAGACTAGTGATTTACAACTACAACCGTCTCGAAAACAAAAACAACGGCCAAAAATGTTAAAAAAAGATGTCGAAGCGAAAACTTTACTCACGTAAGTAATGTATCTATTAACTCTTTTTTTCTATATTGTAGATGTTATTGTGCCTTGAAAATTTTTCATAAAATATTCTCTTAGTCCGAAAACTTTGAGAATATATACTTTTTCCAAAGATACCTTTTATCGATCTTCTAAGTGATAAAATTTTATTCAGTATACAATTCTAAAAGAAGTTCAAAGCAGTCAGCATAGTAGATTTTCATAATGTTGCTGAGGTGAAAGCAGCTCTATTTTATCACTTAAATTTATTACCTTTTCTGAGTGAATTCTAATGCAAATTTTTTGCACATTGATATTATCCTAGAATATGCTAATATCTTCTCCTATTTGATTAAGTTTACAAGAGAAATGTAGAATTCTTCGGTGTTTGTCCTAATCTAACAGAATTTCAAAAAGTATAAAAATTCGAACAGAACCTTCCCGTTTACTGATTCACGCTATATTTTATATGTTTTAGTCATGAATTCGACGACAATGAAATAGATGATAGGAGAAATTTGAAATCGTCTGAGCAAGAAACATCAGATATTGTATCGTCGAATATTGAAGAGGCTTCAACACCACTACTTGAGAAAATAGCTAATAAGCTTAATGAACTAACAGTAAACATTCCTGATGTCCTGCCGACCATCACACCACAGCCACAAGAGGATAAGACAGCTATCAAAGAACAACGTATTGACCATATTCCGACAGATTTGTCCGTGCAAAGTACAAATGAACCGGTAACAGGCCCTAGTGAACACAAATCACTTTTTGGTAATTTAAAAAATCAAGTGACTTCTGTATTGTCATCAACGGCAAGTACAATCAGCCATATTTTACCATTTACAAACAAAACGCAACTTCAAGAAACACCATCAACAACAGAGGATCAGCAACAAGAAGAGTCCCTAATACTGCGCGAACAGTTAGAAGGTTCACGTTCTGAATTGCCAAAATTTGATTTGAATAGTATAAAAAATGCTGAAGAGCAACTTTACAAGACAATGCCACATGTCGACCGCACCTCTACGACTGAAAAAGTAACCTTAACTGACAGCCAAACGACAGAATCATCAAAAAACAAAAAGAAGAAAACACGAAAAAGATCAAAACAAGATAGTGGACATGATGATTCTGGAAACATTGAACAATATTTTGCTGGTGTAAAAGTACAAATCGATTTACCTACAACTGCGCTCAATGATATCTCGGATCAGTCAGATTTTCATATTATCAAATCGAAACATCGTCAACGTTCAACATCAGAACTAAGTACAACATCGTCGAACAAACAACAAGAACAAGAAGAATCTTTTGCCGATAATGAAGAAGACGAAGATTTCAGTATCAGACCATTAATTATTGGTAGCAGCACTCATTCACAAGATCTTGAACATTCACATTTACCTTTATCGCCAGAAATTGGGAGTGAGGTACAACATCCTGCACACCCTAAAAAGAGACGACAACGGAAGAGAAAAAGTACATCAGGCGATGACGTTGAATTTATTGCTGTATTACCCTCTGTTTTACAAGGAAACCAGGATGAACAAGAAGATTCTGTTCAGATTGAATTGGATGAGAACAATGTGAATCAGCCAACAAAGTCGAATATTTTGGAATCTATACCATCTGCTACGGATGATGCAAGCTCAAGTACAAAAGACGCAATTAGTTCTAATGTAAGTTAGGTATTAAAGAAACTTAAAATTTGAAGCTAGAAGAGAACCAAAAAACTCTATTTAGGATTTTTGCACAAAATAAAACTTGAAAACACGCTTTACGGTGTTTTATTTATTTTATTTCCAAATCGTTACAAAACTTGTTTATGATAATGTTGAATAATAACAAAAACAATTTCTTATTTTTCGAAATCAAGAATGAAACGTGTAATAGTTTCGAAGCAAATAAAAAAGCTTTAGGAGTTAAAACTATCCTCCGAAGTGGCACTCTATTGCCACATTGAATTTATTGAACTAAATCGAGTTTAGCGATTTTTATGAGCAAACTGTATTTTGGTCATCCGTATACTTGAGAGGCGTAGGATGTTTTCTGGTTTTATTGTCATGAAAACTTGTTTCTTTTCTTTAAAAACTCTTTCCTTTTTAGAGAGCATCACAAGATAACACGAAAAGTGAGGGTAAAACAATAAAAAACGTCGTTCCTAGTTTACAAGCGTCTTCTAGTAACACTCCGTCCGTCGATGAAGAAGTTGAAATTCACAGAGACCAACAGTTAGGTGAAACAAGTGTACAGTCCACCGATCTATTAGACAGAATGCAAGATGCAGTTTCGACAGTAACAGACAGACTTAATCAAACTACCAATCAGTCACTGGCAGATACACAACCACAGACAAAATTAGATGAAGACACCAAGGATGAAGAAAAAAGTGGTTTCTTTGAACAGCTAAAACCAGTTCATGGCTATCATTCCTTCACACCCAATAAATATCAGTATGAACCACTTAATCAAACTACAACTACTATTGATGATGTACAAAAAAAAGGTCTAAAGTACGAATCCGGTGATGCTATTTTAGCCAGAGGTTTCGGTAAATGGTTGCAAGAGGGCAGATCGATGATAAATGAGACAACAAAATCCATAACGAAAACAACAAGTGGTTTAACATCAGCAACGCAATCTCTAACAATCAAACCTAAATCGTCCAATGATGACGAAGAAGAAACAGACAGTGCTCTAATCACATCCAAATCATCATCTAAAAAGGAACCATCCTATATTTCGGAAGAGAAACGTATTCATGAAACAAGTGGTTATGCTGTAAATCACCCGGGTGCTTCCAATTGGTTTAACACTGTTCAATGGAACAATACCACCCGACAGTCTCCACCCGATCACGATGACAAAAATAAACAGCAAAAACAGGATGAAACGCGAAACACCGAACATAATGGAGAAGTTCAACAGCGTCCACCAACAGTTGATAGTCAGGCATCAACGTTCGAAGAAAGACAAGCTCATCTAAATAATTTAAGTCAAATAAACGATGATACTTTAGGACTAAAATTTCATGGCTTAGAAAGTAGTTCGACCTCTTCACAATCGTCTTCTTCCTCCAAAATTTGGGATCCAATAAAAGGCTTAAATTCACTCGATACTCTACCGTCAACCAGTACAAAAACAGAAACCTCGTTTTCTCCTGATGATGTTCAACGTTGTCTTGGTGAAGATTTTTATCGAGAAGCTATCGAAGAAAAAGTTTTTGATTCAAATCAAGAATTCAACGACATGGAGCAGCCAAACGTTAGTGAACGATTGTCTCTAAATAATACAACAAATGATAATAAAAAACGAACAGTGACAACAAAAGTGGTTGAAGTACGCAGAAAAGGTAAACAACGAAAACTAGATGATGATAATACAAAATCACTCTTAAGTGGCATTATTTTAGAGCCAGCATCTGCATCGATGAACATAAATAAAAATGAGGATGACATCGCTGACTTCGAAAATATTAATAATAACAATAATAACAATCCAATCGATACACGTGGTCTCAGTTTTGACGAAGGTACTCACTTTGTTGCCAAACAGGGACGCTCTGCATCCGTGACAGATAGTACTACTTCTTGGGAAGTAAATCGACAAGATACAGATTATTCTTATGCTCTAATAATCGACGATGATACCTATATGGACATTCCAGTACGTCAACACGAAAATAAAGAGCAACCATTGTTATCAAAATTTATCAATAATGATTCGAATTCTATAGACCAACATTCAAACAGTAGTAATCAATATGGTGATTTTACTATTAACGATGATAATGAAATAATGCCGATAACTCAATTTTATCCATCTATGATCGATAGTGTAGGAGGACGTTTCACTGGTATTTTATCGACAGATGATAGTTTTTTATCGACTGGACTTATTAACAATGTCGAACCAGGCCCCATTAACTCTTATTCTAATAGGCGAAAACCATCCGACTCATTAAAATCATTTAACATTAGGAGAAAAAATCATCAGAAAAAATATATTATTAATGATCAAGATGATGAAATTTATCTTAACGATACTAATGGCGTCTATAGACGTAGGCGACCGACATTGTCAACAGTTAACCAAACAAATTCCTAATTGTGTTGTATATATAGATGTTATTTCTGTTTCATTCTTATTTCAATTTTATCTAATCTAGTCCTATATATCCTCGGTTTTGAAGAAATTAATGCCAAACGTCCATTTGTTAATTAAGAAAGAAAGACACTAAAAGAAGTATATGTTTTGTAATTTAATGTAAAGACATTTTCTAATTTTTCTTGGACATGTCAACATATGATAGTCGACTTTTGAACGCTCTCGTCGTCATTAAATGTTATATTATTTTAATTATTAAAGTCAATTGCGCAAATGTAACTAAACTTCTACATTCCTTTACGAGTCATATACATTCTTAACGTTTAATAACCAAACCGTCAAAGTATACGCTTTATTATCGTTGGTATATGTTCATTATTGATGAAAAAATAATCTAGATGAACATTCTTCTTTCAACACATAGATATCAATTGTGAATTTCAACATTTTGTTTATTATTAATGAATTAGTATTATATCATTTTAGTAATATTGAGTTTGTATATGAACTTTATTTTTATATCCAGAAAAAAAAAATCGAGAAGAAACAAAGAAGAAATTATTATTTTGAAAAAAATTTCTACGATTCAATTGCTTTTTATGTCTGAATTGCATATACATATATTGCTTGATATATATCATGAACAGTTTTTCTAAATATCTTTGTTATAGGCTATTTGTTTATTTTCCGTTTTATTCGAGTGCCATAAAATATTTTTTTGCCGGTTTGTTAAAAACATGTGTGTTTGTGATTTTAATTTAATTTTATTATTTTGGTTTTTTGTTTTGTTAAAAAATTAGTATACATTATTGTCCTTTCTCACTGTTACATTTGAAAAAATGTTTGTTTTGTGACTATCTGATCTCTTATTATAACTATTATTATCAAGTAACGTGACAAAATTGAATTTGTAATTCAATGCAGTCGTTTGTTCTTGTTTTTTTGTTTTATTAACATCCTCTGATATGTCCACAAACGATAAAATCTAGTGGTTTTACTTATCAATGTTTAGTGATTGTATTTTTATCCTTCATTTATACTCGCGTTCAATACTGTAACTGCAATACACATTCATATAGTATACGTATATTCATTCATACACTTTGCTTTTTATATTTCAAAATCACATTTTATCCATTGCATACATATCTTTCTCTTTCCTATTCGTGTGTAATTATGAGTAGCACAACATAATGTTCATGGATGATTAGATATGTGAACGTCTTGTTTAAATCTCGTTGTTTTGTTTGTTTGACAGTTGTTGTTGTTATACACTTTTTTTTGCATTTGATTTATTCGTTTTTCTTTTTGTCTGTTCAATTCTAAATTAATAAACTCAAATTCACTGATGCTGAAAAAATAATTGAGAGTAGAATCATTGTTCAGTTTCAATTATTTTATTGTGATAAAACTTGAAGATATAGAGTGACTTATACTGCAAAAATATTATTTCCCTTGGTGTCATTTGTACTACAGTATGATTCTTGATAGAATATGTCCAATCGACTTCCCTAAATAATCGTAAAACGTCCGATATTGATAAAACGGTTCAATTGTATTTTGCACTAATGTGAAAGTTGTAAGATAGAACGTTGTAGAATAATTGCCTAAACTATTGTGTGAAAGTAGTTTGATGTCAGGTAGTAAATAATTTTTCTTCTTATATTCTACGATATTATATACATTTTGTTCGTTTTTCTCGTAATATTTATTTACATAATGCTATACGTTGCAGAGTCCAATCCGACTTCTTCTTCAATAGCAAAAAATATAAAAATGAGTATTAATTACACTGTGACACAAATTATACACGATGCAAAGGCCATAATTAAATGTACGCTTTGTGTACATACAATACAAGCAGAAATAACAAGCAGTTAAACGATCTAACAATATCAAATATAACTTAATAGCTCAACCTACAGCTAAATACAAATTGTAAAATACTTTTACAGTATCGACAATTGTACTTATTATTTAACTTTTTGTTTTGCGATTTTATACACATATTCTTTCACAAAAATGCGTTTTGACAAAATTGTTGCTAAAAATACTTTTCTAATTATGTACTACTCCAATTAACAATTGTAAACTTAAACAATTTCCTTCTATGACAGACATGAGCTATATTCTAGCAAAATTGTTAAAGTACTCGCATCGATTATTATATAACTATGAAATAGTTATTGCTCATTATATCAAACTTGTGGTGAAATATTTTCTTATATTGTCAGCTATTCAAACATTATAGTTTAAAAATTTTAAATGGTGCTATAGCACCTCGTATGTGCGCAAAACGCACATTTAATTCTGGTCTTTGCATTGTGTATAGTTTATGTCACAGTGTAATTAAAATGCTCATTTCATAATTTTTGCTATTGAAGAAGAAGTCGGATTGGACTCTGAAATGTATAGCATTTTGTAAATAGATATTACGAGAAAAAAGATCGAACGTCTAGATAAGTTCAGAATTATACTGCTTGATTAAGTGCTCATGGGCCTGCCGTAAAGCCTATACTTATGATTTAACACAAAATCGGATAAACTAACTATTGTTTCAAACATTTTACTAATTCGATTTATACTTGAATGATATTCATTTACCAGTTTAACATTTTCTTTCGATTGAATGCGATTATTCATAATAACAGGTAAAAGAAAATTATATTCGGTTGAGTAACGAGCTGATATTTTCAGTGAACTAAAGGATGACAAGTCAGTTCATGAAAATATTGCTCTGTTCAAAAAGAAACACATAGAGTGAAATAGTTCATGTATTCTATGATTTTAAACGAAGCCAGTTTCCGTGAAAACTTGACTGAACAACGGTATAGTAACGAAACTATACAACGACAGAACCTCATCAGATGCAATCGTACAATAAACTAATAGTTCATGGTTGCCCTTGTCTGTGATTGATGATCGTAGAGATTATGCAATACAGTTTAGTATTTTTGAGATAATATTTCGCTTATCATTTTTATTATGTAATACATTTTTTTTCTGAACGAATTTGTTGTTTGGGTCTCAGTATGCCTTTCAATCCTTTTAACTTTTTTCACGGACTTAAAATGAAAACGTTACACGACAACAAGCTTCATTCAACTGCAAATGTTAACACATTCATGAGTGATAGTTCTTTGATCCCTTGTGGAAACTATATTTTCTTTTCATTATTCTTCAGTGTCAAAGTAGAAACAAGTGACCTAGAAAGAAAATATGTGTAATAATACTCCATTAAAACTTACAGTTGAAGAAATATTGCCTTAAGCACGTTTTGAATTTCATTTTCTACCAAACACTTACGAACAAGCAGATGGTGATTGAAGAGGAAAAAAAATCACTTGAATAAATTTACACAATAGATGTTTGCAAAATAAAATTAATTCCACTGGTGGCAATATTACTGACAAAATAATAGTTGCTAAGATAGCAAATAACCTTTATTATACTTTGTCAATGAGACAAATACAAAAAAAGTGTTAAAATGAAAGATATTGTAACACGCCATATGAATTATGCATAGAGAGATGTAGCATCCGGAATAAGAAAATTTCCAACTAATATCAGAAGATCTCTTTTAACTATATTCTCTGGCATAAGTGACGAAGAATAGGCTTGAGTCTCGCTAGATTTTAGCTCGACGCTGTTCAGCCTCGCGTGGATCCGAGAAAAAAATATATTTTCCTCTGCTGAAGACTTAACAGTTTTAGATATTCATAAGATAAAAGTTTCTACATGAATGAAGAATACCTCAATCAACACTGTAATCCATTTTTACCCTTTTAACTTGGAGATAGTCTGCAAAAAAGCGTTACAGGTTACTATAATGAAAACTTTTCTTAAATTCATTGATGATCAATGGAAGATGAGCAATAGATCATCTTTCTTTGGTTCTCTATTAAACTTCTTCCGAACAATAAGCCGGACTGACATTTAGAAATAAGCTTTCGCAATATATGCTATCGAGATACATTTTGTTAGTTTTTTGAAATGACTATTCAACGCAACAAGTGCATTATTTGATCAATAAGAGGGATTGTATAATTGCCTGTAAATTTCAATTTCTTTCATAAAATTCGAAATATCTTAAGTTTGTTTATTTGGGTTATATACGACAGAGGTCTCAAAAGCATACAGTATCTCTAAGAATCGTATAGTAACCACCATGTTTTGTTATAGGAATCTTATAGAAAAGAAATTATCAAAACCTAATCAAATGCTTATATTCCTATAAAAATCTTCTACACCTTTATCATATAAATAGCTCATAAGATTTCTATAAGAGTCATATCACATTTCTTCTTCATATAAAATATTTATAGGTAATCGAAAATCTCATGTGTACTTTTGGTGTAGTGGTACTAATTAGAGCTCCGCACGGCCTGGACTGGACTCGGACTTTCAAGACCATGGATTAAAAAAAAATTTTATTCACTCGATACAAGGAAAAATCAGTAAAAAACAGGTAAAAAATACTAAAAAAAACTACCTTCTTAGAGTCTATGAAGTGGACTGAAGTTAGAATTTTGAGTCCATACGGAGCTTTGGTACTAATCTCTTTTAAAACATTGCCGTGTGTAGTAATGATAAATGTGCTGAAATTGATTAGACACGTCATAGAATATGATTTTATGACACTTCAATCAATAATACTTATTAATTTGTGACAGAATAGCATGAATCACAGTAACATTTCATACGCTGATTGAATTATTATAGTGAAAAACGATGACAAAGTAGAATATTGTTCCCAAAAGAGAGCGAAAATACTTCTGCATTATAAGGAATTTTCAGTGACCAGGCATATTAATTCAGATCATCCCAAAGAACTTTTTATTGTTCCAAACTCAGTTCTGATACTGAGGGATTGGAACAGTATTGCAGTGCTTAACTACACCAGTGTTGTAGAATGGCTATAAAATAATTCAAGGAAAAACGAACTTGAAGATCGGCGCAAACTTCACTTTTTTTTAACTTCATGTACTATTGCACTGAATAATTCTCATGTTGATGTAAGTTTCAAAAATCTATTCTTTAATTCAGTGTTTCTATGAGTTGCAACGGGCTAACAAATGAATTAATGGGTTATTTCAGCCAAAACAAGTAATTCACTCATTAGTTTTCTAGACACGAGTAAAGAATTTCCATTACCCGTTACAGTGACGATAAATGGAAAGTGTCACCTCTATGCATGAGAAAGTTCAATGTTTTAAATACTGAAAGGTTAGATATTTCGAGGGCTTCGGAGGTGTTCATTGATGTCAATGCTATAATAATTGTAAACTGACAGCGAAGAATATTTTTATATCCGTTGTTTCTCCCAAGTGGTGATTATGCTAAAAAAATAACCAGCAAATTCTACAAATTAAAAAGAGTAAAACTCTACTTTATGCCAGTAAACTTGAATGAAAAACCAATACGTACAGATCAGAAGTTTTCGCAAACAACATTATTTCGCACTTTCTTTTTGAAAATGTTTTTTGCTCCGTGAGAGTGTTTTCTACCAGATATCGAACTTGTCTATGTATGAGCCAATGCAAGGTAAGAACGACTTAAGTTGCTCAATTGATGTTCGTTTTCTCTGACTAAACTTTCCCAGTATATAACGGCGACATATTTAGAAAGATTTCCAAAAATTTTTTACCTTGATTTACTCCCTAAAAAAGTTATCGAATTGTTCGTATAAGCTCTAAACAGCCTAAAACAACAACTGCATAAAAGTGAAATTTGTGTTGATTATATCTCGGTCTAGCAAACAGATTAAGAGCTCCTATTTGGAACATAAGTAGTCGAGGTCGAGTACTATCTGGAGCCAAGAGAAATAAATAATATATATATATATATATATATACAAATAAATGTCGCTTATATGTGAACATATGCACATAACATGACGAATTTTTGCTGGCGCAAATGCTTTTTAACCTGGCAAATATGTTATGTCATTGAATATTATTTATATCAGTTGTATGAGTACACCTCTACTGTAAACTATGAATTCATTTCGTACAAGACCCTTAGCTGTTGTACAGATGAGCTCAAAAGCAGGTGGGATATGAAAAATGGTCAGTTTTGAAGATCCGTTTTCTTGTCCAACGGTATCAACGGTACTGCGAACTTTCATCGAAAAATACTTTATCGAAATATTCTTACTGTAGGGTATGGTTAAGAAGCTTAAGCACGGATAAGATTCAGCAGATAGCAGAGCCGTGAAAGTGCGTAGGAAAGCTCTTTCAGGAGGAAAACCATGAACCAACGGCCAAAAAGTATTTTCGATGAAAGTTCACAGTACTGTTGATTCCTAGAAAATCCGTCGAAGCAAACCGAAGTACCTGAAGTTGAATCTGTCATATATAAAATGCTGAGAAGAAAATGTAACTGGGTAGTCTAATATCAAAATACTCGGTAGCACCTCAGCAAATCAATCAGTCAAAAAGAAAAACCAGGCTCTGTGTAAAAATTTTCCCATGAAATTCTATTGATTTTTTTCCATTGACTGGTAGCTCGGTATCTCCTCTACAAAACGAGACCGGAACGACACATTGATTTTTCATGACTTGGGCTTTGTTTTCCGAAAGAATTTCTGAAAAACTTATTAATAAAAATATTCTTTTTTCGATCTTCAAATCAAGTTTAGTGAACAAAATTAATCATATCCTGAAGTTTCAGCTCGATCTGATGTTTTTTGAGTGAATAGCGAATCATTTAATATTATATGAAAAAAAATTTGCTAAGATGCTACCGAGTATTTTTGATATTAGACTACCCAATTACATTTTCTTCTCAACATTTTATATAGCATTTTGTAGCCCAGGCTTGCTCTCAGCAAAAGGGATGAAATAATGAAAATACTCTGAGGAAAGTAAACCTAATGAGAAAATAGTTCTGTATGCGAAAATTGTTCTCAGGGAGATTTTTTAAGGTCTAAACATACGTTTGGCTTAATCGCGGCGAAAACCTATAGCAGATCCGTGAATATAAGACTTATATGTAAGGGGGCTCTTATCGTCCCTCGTCCTTTCAAACTTTCTGTGAACACTTTTGTCTTGACTTTCCGCCGCGGAAAATGTACCAACGGCATAAAAAGCTACTTTTTATGTCAACTTTTCTATGTGAACCTTCGGCGCAGACGTGAAAATACGAGTATGATCTCTTTTATATTATTTGAAAGCCTATTTTTCTCCAGTAAGTATTTCACATCTGACGGGTTTATTTTATAGAAACGAAAAGTGAACCAAGGTCAGATAAAATCATTCTATCATCGTCCCATCACTCTCCTCAAAGTATTTTTATAAGCTTTCCGCCACAATTATAGCCTCTCCGGCCAAAAAACAATCGGAATCGCTGCTCATATTCGTGGCTAGAACCAAATTTGGTTCTAATGAGGCGGCTCAAAGTGCAAAAACCGGGTATAGGAAATTTTTATAGCAATTAAGAAAACACGCCTAGGAAATGGAAACAGACAAAATCGCAGTCACAGCGCGAAGTAACTAAAATCGCAAAACCACGACGCGACTCTCGAATAACGCAAGGGCTACTAATTAGTTAGTAGTCGTGCCGTGACAAAGCGACTCACGCCACGACATAAAGAGCTGTGGTGAAACAGGAGGAACTCTTGTGGCGAATCTAGCGCGTCACATCATGTCACGCCATGACAAACGCGATTCATTAGGGCTGACATCCTGATAGTAAGAATGGTAGTCACCAGAGCTCCGTATGGACTGATCTGAGTTCATAGTCCAGTTCAGTCCATATGGACTAAATTGAAAATATTTTGAGTTCATGGACTCGGACTACCCTGGACTGGAAATGTTTTGAGTTCACTCAGAATTTGGAGTTCATACAGAGTACTGGTAGTCACTATAGACAAGATTCCATCGGAACCATAGCAATTACTGAGTATTTTTTTTTGTGTACCATGAGAAAATCGTGACCCCGTGATGTCGCTCGAATCAAAATAAAATACTAATCATTTACTTCGAAAAAATGCGAATTTGTCTTGTAAACACTCCTCAAAAAATGAGAAACTTTATTCCGAGAGATTTTTCATTTTTTTCGGATGTTCTTACTCGTTTCAACTAGGGTACCTATCGTAGTACATCGAAAATATATTTTCTACTGAAATAGTCAAAGCTATCCCGATAATATATTTTTAGCTCGACGTAGCGTGGATTTATGTTAGACTTGCTAACTCAAAGAGTTAAGAAATAGAATAACCACACGCACAAAGATTTTAAAATGCAAAAAAAAGCCTGAGGATGGGATGCTGTGCATCCCTCACAGCTTGAAGGATTTGGTTCCTTTAATTCGTCATATTATCACCATACCTCCCTATCTTTACTCCTTTTTCTGTACCTATTACAAGCGTGCGTTTGATGAGCTGCAGAGATGCGAGGATTTAATCTTGATTCGTGCCTAATTACTCACACGTGTGAGTAATAGTACACATGCGGTGAACAAGTTTGTGATGGAGAATTAACAATTGTCGGTAAGTTTTGTAAAGACTCAGACTACAGTAAAAGAATAGCTAATCTATAATAAACTGTGTTTTGTTAAAGGTCCAAAAAGTTTATGTGATAAATTAATGAAGTAGTTGAATTCAACCGATTATTTATATTCGTCTTTACAAGAAGACGATGAAGATGATGTAAACGATTATTTACTAGGCGGAAAAGAAACTCAAAGTACAAGTTCTTTTTATCTCTTTAGTATATACACAACTGTGTTCAATTTCCTCTTCTTTCAATTTTAGTAAGAAAAAGAAAGAAAAAAAGTTATAAATCAAATTCTAAATGTCTGAAAGGAAATAATTCTGTATTACGTCGAAATATATTTCAAAAAGGTATGTTCTTTCCGTGGATGTAATCCAGAAAAGTATTAGGAAACAGCGTCAGCTTTCAGACGTTTCGACGACCCAACTCTTAGTTCTTTAAACTAGTAGGAGCTTTTAAAAGACAAAACAGAGCGTATTTTGACAACTCCGCTTCACACTATTCAAAGTACCTGTTTACTTGCTTTATCTTATGTAGGTGCTAATTCTACTACGGTAAAATTATCTTTAATAATCAGTATACGTTCGTCCAATGGTATTACAAATGATGATAATAACGTTCGAATGACACAAGAGATTGAAAACGCAGAATCACTGTCTCTTCGTAATGGTACATTTTTTCACTTTTCGTAGCTTTGATAAAACGTAAATTTACATTTCTTTGACTTAGGTCCAGCAGAATATACTCCATCGATCGAAACTGACGATTTTGTTTCAATTCCGACGAATGAAGTTTATTTCCATTGGTAAGCATCACGTAGGTTTTCCACTAAAAGCGGCATAGCTCGTATTACTTCGAGGACTAAATCACTTGGTTAGTTCATGTACTTCGTTTGCTGTTTGGTTTGAAGCCCGTAGTGCCTTTGGGGGATGAAAATAGAACTATTGCACTCTCTGCTGTATTTTGCCTTTTATTTGGTTTGTATTATAAGAAGACTTGCTGTCGAGTTCAACGATACCGTCGGTACGAACGTTCGTACATATTGCAGAAAATGCTACATCCAATGAAAAATTTTATACCAGTGAGAAAACTCGTCCAAAAAAAGCGCCGGTACGCGTGTCTGTCATCGTCATCATGTAACAAGCTTTCTCCTGGTATGTGTTTATTAGTCCGTTATTTTGCGTGTGAAAAGCACAATAACTTGTTCTTAAATGCCTAAGAGAAAAGAAGATTTTTACTGTGATTTTTTTGTCTTGGTTACAGCCTCTCGTTTAACCAACATTGAAGGTGCACTCAACAATTTAATATCATATGTTAACACTCTCAGTGAAGACGTTGCTTCTGTTACTGCTCAGCTGAAATCGTTATCAAAAAACGTTAAGATTATCCAGGATGTAAGTGAGAATAAAGCTGTTACTTCGGCTTACGTGCGATTCTTAACTCTTTTGCGCATTTCTTTAGTATATCGTACCGAGAGTTCCAACAGATATAGTAGCAATACCTCTTTCTTTATGCAGTTCAGCTGCTAGTTCATCTCCAGCTACAATGCTAGCAAAAAAAGTTTTGGTATCTGCAAGTTTCCTATATTAATCTCGCTATTCTCTCATACATTGCTTTTTTTCTGTTTTTAGATGTTTAAAGATACAAATTTAATGAAATTAAAACATGATTTTACTTCCATTCGATCATTCTTACGAGAAATGACAATATATACACGTGGTGAAATATTAGCTAATAAACATTTAGATGATAAAGAAGATCGATATATGACTATAATAGGTAATTGTCTTCGTTTCTGAAGCTATCTCACTACGAAGGCGACATACTGATCCCTAAAGTTAGTTGTACTAAAGCTGCTGCTACTATTTGTTAAAAATTGCAGTGGTTTTTAAATGTTTACAAAACCTCAACATTCTACTTTGTTTCTCTTTCGGAAAAAGTCCTTTTCGGTGGGAAAAACTCAGAAAGAGGAAGAACTATTTATAAGTTTAGCTCCTCCTTCCTGTCAATAACTTATGTCGTCGTCATAACAATGAAAAAAACTTTTGCAATTTTTCTTTGTTTAGACGGTCTAAAAAATGGTTTTGTTCTAAGTGAAGAAACAATGAATGCTTTATATCCGTCGTTAAAAGAAGCTCGAAATCAATTGACGAAGGATGTACGTTATTTGTTATGAAACCAAAATTACATGAAAATATTCTAAATGAAAATATTATTGATGATCAAATTCAACAAAATATTGAAGAAATTACAGACACAGTCGAACAACAGGAAGATGAAGAATGAGTTTTTCTTATTGAATTATCGTAAGAAACAGGAACATTCACAGAAATCGAACGATCAGATTGTTTAATGTAGAATTTCCTATGTGTGCTTTGTTGTTATTTTTAAATTTTTTGTTAAAAACGCATTGGAAAGTTATATTTTGGTGAAAATATAGATGAAATAGAGAAAATGGTGACTAAAAGCCATAATCCCAAGGGAATCACGACGATTGGGGGATTCCTGGTGGGTAGAGAGTGAATTCTGTGCATATCCTTATGGATTCCCGTTTGTCAGGGACTCACTAGTGACTTATAGAGTGACTCCCTGAAAAATCCCTAAGGATTCTCTCCAAACTCTCTAGGAAATCCATGTCGTGATTCCTTAGGAAGTGTTTTGAGGGACTCCCTGGTGATTTTCGCAGGGAAAGTGGACTAGGGGCAATGTCAGCAGTGAACACTCACTGCTTATGTTGTTGTGTCAAAGTACATAAAAACAGAAAATTCTATACGTCAATACCGGAAAGATATTTGGATATTTACGTAATAGTTCAATTTTACTTAATTTAAATTGGTCTTCCTCACCAGAGATCAATTTATCTTGACTTTTCCTGAACTGTAGCGACCCTTTCAACTTTGGGGGAGGAGCGCCTATTAATGGTATATTATGTAGTGTGAGTGACGTTCATTTGGCTTGTTTTCTCGTCGTGTATTGCACTTGTTATTCGATCACTGTATTGTAACCAGTAGCTATGTATTGCTCAAGTACAACGTACTGATACAATAGCGGAGTGCCCTTCCCAATAAAACAGTGTACGGTTAGTTATTTAATCATTTTTCGCAAATTATTTACTATGTATCGACTTTCCCGGAAAAAAATCTGAAAAAACGCCCAGAAGGAGGATTCGAACCTCTTCGACGCTAATCGACTTTAGATTTGAAGTCTAAACTCCGGACCCCCGAAGCTCATCCGGGCAATTGTTGTTAAACTTAACTTTTCTTTTATACTTTAAAGAAAGAATTAAACAAAACGATGAATGACAAGGCAGCTGTCAATCAACTAGTGACACCTATGCTTGTGCAAGACTTAGATTTTTGGTATTCGTCCGTTTCTGATTTTTCTATTACGTGATGCATCTTTTTGTTTCTTAATGCTAAGTATATGATAAAATAAACTGTTTTTGTTACTCAAACAACAAAATTTACGGCCTGTTGGTAGATGCATAGAGAATGCCATACTCTTATTATCGTTAATCATTCCATAATAGAAGTTTAGCGAACCATAGCTTATATTTTTACGAAGTTGTTTTACATTTTACAGAAGACATGTGATAGTATTTTATCGTTTCTACAAAGAACTTTCAAAAACTTTTGAATAACAATCTGAGATAACTTATCCTATACAACTCGCTCAAGTTAAATGGCACAGTTTATTATAGTTGTCTAAAAATTCTCTTCATTTAAAGAAATTGCATGGAAAGAGGAATCATGATGAAATCGCAATATCATTTATGTATATATCATAACATCTTAAATAGATATATTGAGGAACAAAGAGGGAACTCATTGTAGGATAATATTATCGAATAACTCTGAGAAAGGTTTTGTATAAGTGAAAGACAAGCAAGAGTTTCCGCTCGATGTGTTCATCAACAGTGTGTAACCGTTGCGCTCGTATGTTCATAAGCCAATTACAAAAAAGAAATAACTCGAGTAAACAATTGATTCACTTAGACATGTTGCATTTTATTATCGTTCAGTGCAGTCAGTTTAAGCAGTGTAACATAGACACACGAAGACCGACATAGTATAATCTTTACATATACATATATATTCACTATAGGAAAATAGAGAAAGAAAAATAATATATAAATTCATCTTATTTACAAAAGAAACCGACGAAAAAAGAAAAATTCCACATACACCTATATACCGAACGAACGAAAGCTTAAACCAAAAAAATTTTGCGTATATCCTATCTTATAAGATAACCAACGATGATGAGGATCTATCTGATCTGTATTACATGTGTTAACCTATTAGAAGACCACAGTATTTATTATATTTCTTTTTCTTACATTTCTTTGTTTCAATCAATAAGCTAAAGAAAGAACACAAAAACAGCGGAATCATGTGCTCTTGATATAGCTGTATATATATATTCTCTGTTCGAAGAAAAAAAGAACAAATGTGGACCTGTAAACATATCTATAAGTCTGTCTATATAGAGCCCGTACACTGACAATACATATACACACGTCCACGCGCCCGCGCTCTCTCTTTCGCTCTCTCTCTCTCTCTTTAACACAACAATTCTAGAACAGAAGCGCAGCAATTTTCTTGCTGCAAGAAATAGTGGCTCTATATATACGTATGTATACCGTATAAAAATAGAGTTGAAAATTTGCTTCTTCTCCCTCTTTCTTTACGATGGATTCTGTTTTTTGATAAACATTTTTAAACTTTATCTTTTCTGCAAACGAGAAAAGGAAAAAAGCATCGATTCAATGCCATAGATTTTGACGTATTACAGCCAAAGATATCTATCGACGATTTTTTCTTAATTATCAAACAAGTGTACGTTTTATCTATTTATCCATTTGTCGTAGTCCGAAATAATTCGAGGCGTATGCCTGCTAAATTCAGCTAAAGCGTTTGTCAATGATTTCAATTAAAACTATACATTAATCGGACAATTTGTGAATTAAGGCAAAAAGTTGGTGTTAAACTTGGTATGTTTATTTTATCAAATTTTATTAGTCAGATGAAATTGAATACGCGAATTTCAATTAGAAAGCGAAAAGAAGAACTTGTTATTTCTTTTCACTGCGATATTTCTCATGTGTAATGAGAAATGGTTAGAAGAATAGCTTCAGGTTGATAAGAAGAAATCGTTCTTATCCCTTAACCCATTTATTCAGATAAAATAGATTTATAAGCACTAGTTATTCTTCTTGTAAAATACTAACGTACTTATACAAATGATTTGTTTTGAGATCAATTAAAAATTATTTTCTCAAGGATTAGATATTGCTGTTGACATGAAATAGAACTTTTAAGATTAGAAGATCAGACAGCAAATACGTACAACTTCTTTTCAAGAAATTTTGTTAGTGATGTAATTAAGACCTATTTACTTTTAACGTCAAGATTATAGAGATTTTAGACTTTCAAACTGCTATTAAAGAAGAATATTTGTAATTTTTAAGTCTCTTAATATGTTTGTGATCACAAACTAAATGTTTTACATGACGCTCCTTTTGCACATTATTTTTTTCCATGTTTTATCTTGAGAATTCGAAAAGAGATACTTGTGTACATCGTTTTCTCGTAAAACATTAATTTATCGGTAGCCATAGTGGTATGCTTATAACTTTAGATAATGAAAATTATCAAAATTCAGACTATACTTCAGTTCTAATTTGTTCTTCTGTCCGAGTCAACCTGATGTTGAAAGCAAGTGTGTCAGTGCTAATGCGCTGTATGATTGACGAACTACTCATATTTTTTGATATAAAATAATCATCTTCGATGAGTTTACTGTTGATAATTAAACTATGTGAGGAAGATGCAGTCAATAAATCACACCGGTCAGCGAATAATTAACCGAGAGCAACAGTTCCGGTCAAAAGATGTTGGATCAGTTCAATCTATGGCGATAGAAGTCATATTTGATTGTGAATAAATAATATAATAGTGAGCAGAAAAGAAAATTAATTGTTGTGATTATTGGTTAAATTAAGCAGAAATTCATCATTTTTCGATGTTATTGTAACAGTATGAACAAATCTTCTTTGATGAATGAATATGGTACACGAAAAATATCTTTTCAATACATACATCGTCTTACTAACTAAATAGTGTAAAATTTATTTTTGACAAAAAACAAAAAAAAATTAATGATACCCGTCAGACAAATATGTGAGAGAATGTTAGTTTAAGTAAATCGTGTTTATCTGATGCAAAAAGATAAATCTTAGTGTGGTAATGTTCTTCGTAATACAAAACTCTCTTATATTGTTTCCAGTTCATAAATTTATTTTCTTTTTGTTACAACGATAATATACGCGTATTCTTCTACACATATAATATTGCAATTTTCTTGTTGATCGATTCTCATTTTGCTTTTTAAAGATGCATATATATATGAGCACAAGTGTTGAAATATAATAATACTACAGTGATAAATTACATTTTTTTATTCATATATAATCAAAATATGGTTGATGTTCGATATTATCCAAAAACATTCAACATCAATTCTAGAAATTTAGTTTGTTATGTTCGAGAAGATAAATTTTTACATGATATGACAACAGGTATGAAAAATATTGTATTGTAGTTTTAGAAAAGAGAGAAGATAATTCTTGAAATATGTTTGAAAGTATAGTTACTGTATTGTACATTATAAATCATCCTTTTGTCTCATTTGTCTTATTTTGTTATCCAAGACAAACTTTAATATCAATCTATCAAAAATTGAGAAATTATCATGATTTATTGAGAGGAGGAAAAAATAAAATAAAATATATTAATCATAATCATAAAGTTTATTTATTTATGGCATGTAAGAGAAATTTTTTGTTTATGTGAGTCTACGTAAACAAGGAATTTTATACATATACATTCTGTATTCTAAAATAGAAATGTGTTTTCATTTATCAAATTTCTTAGCGTAGCTTAGTGTTTTTATGTGCAACAAGCTTTGATTTTTTCACATTTAGAAATCGTGGTCTTTTAGATATTCCATGTTAGAAATTTACCACAGTTTCATTTTGCTCGTATGATTATTTAAACCATTATTTATCTCAGAAACGCAAAAATATTTTAGAAGTTCGCTAGAAATCACAAACATACAAAATAAAAAAATTGAACTCTATTTAGCTTCTCACCGTATGTCTGTGCTTTAATTTCTAAGAATTCAAATTTTTCCGATACATCGTTATGGAAAATATTTTGAAAATGCTGAGCATCATAAGCAGAAAAGTTGCTGTTGAAAAAAGATGGCGTATAATACAGATTTTGATGTTTCTCTAAAAATTATCATAATTTTTCAGCAGAATATCACCCACAACTGTTCGACAACTCGTTTTTGATCAGAATCATCTGCTTTGTAAATTGACACTATGCTAACGAAACCATTTATTTATCCTATGATTCTAAAAGAAACCAGTTTCCGTCGAAATTTGAGCAACAACTGTATAGTAGTGATGCATGATAACGATAGAATCTCATCAGATACAATCGTGCAATAAAATAACAATTCATATTGAATTATTCACATAGAATCAACCGAAATGGGTAGAGTGAACGTTTATGAAGACTTTTTATAAATACCTTTATTATGGTCAGAAGAAATCCGAATTCAAACATTAGATTTGTATGGGTAACTGACCACACGCTTATCTCAATATTGACTTTTTATCAAAATTTTGCTATTCTAGCCTTCGTGGTTCTTAATGTAATTGTAAAATCTTTTTCAAATAGAAAGTTAAAACAAACACGTTCTTTACAATATATCTAGTAATCCTTGTAGAATATTTCACTTTAGTAAAAACTAGAAATTGATCATATAATACGATTATAAAACAATTTTATTTTATTGGTGTTTTAAATACGGTTTTTATTCTATTGTACACATATTAAACAATTAAAAACAACTATTTCAACTCGACGAGTTCTATAATTGATGACAAGTGTTTGGTATAAAAAAAAGTTGTTGGCTCTCGTTTTGCTTTATTTCTAACATAATCTTCTTAATCCCTATTGATTGGTTATATGATCAGATTTTGTATTAATTCAAATAAAGTTTTATGTTTTTCTTCTCTCATTCAAATAAAAAATGGTATAGGTCTTCTACACAGTACATCTATATCTGAAAACATCTTATATATATATATATATATATGTATATATACTATACTGGAAACATGATCTAGGTTCACCTTGCAACATTTACACGTATAAAAACAACAATCTTCTATTCCTCTTAATATAAGAGAGAAAAAGTGGGAAAAAGAAGAGCTTGATCTGTTTTTTTTCTTTCTTTTTCTTGCTCACACACACACACATACACGCATAGACATGATAGTTAAAACAACGCGAATATTGTACATTTTCAAGAAGAAAAAAACTCATCGTTTTCTTTACTTCTAATAATTTTCTTTGCCTTTTCTGTTCCATTGTAACAAAAGATAAATGTTTGTTTTATTCTAGCATAAGATATTAACTGATGATCAAATAAATATATCTTTAGTAAAAGAGAAAGAAGACGTATTTAGGCATGAAATTTAAGCATATTAATAAATAGAACGTATAATTAATATTTGCTATCATAGATAAATCTAGAGAAATTCTGTCTTTTATTACATAGACTCAATTTTAACAACCTCTTTAAACATCTTTGACATCCTTTACCAAGTATTGTTTTTGTGAAAAAGTATTCTGAGTTTTTCTAACAGACTCGAGTCAACTGTCAGCTTATTTTAATATTTAGGTTTATATTTAGCGGTTGAGTTATTCTTTCTCTCATTTTATACAGCTGTGATAATGCTAAACTAAATAGTTTTTATTTGTAGTGATATGAAACTAACATGTAATTTGTTTTTTTTTCTATTTCAGAATTAATGTCCACAATGGATAGACCTGGTAATAATAGCGAGTCACATCATGAGCATCAACGTATTATTAAAGAAGACCAATTTGAAGATGTAACAGAAAGAACGGAAGATTTTCCTTCATCCCATGAATATCTTTATAGTAATGAAAATAATGGACCGTGTACAACAACCATATTGACATCTTCTAATTCATTATCTCCGAATTATCAGAATAGTATAAATATTCCAATACCCATCACATGTTCATCGAGTATAACAGCTGTACACACTCATCCTCACAATAATTCACATCATACATCATCATCAACAACAAATGTAAATTCGACTTATCTCCGTACGTCGCCGACTAATAATATGTCCTCGTCTTCGTCTATCGTTGGTCAGAAATATATTAATACATCGCCAACAGATTTAAAGACGCATATAAAATATCAAAATTATCATAGCTATAATAGTCCACAATCAAGTCAGGCTTCACAGCGTTCACCAAAAAAACTCGCGACCCATGATGAAACGGGGACTAGTGGTGTCTATTCTGTAAATCCTACTGGAACAGTAATTTCTACTACAACACATCCGACTAAACATCAATCGATCAATTCACTCTCCAATTATCACTCACATCATCCACATTCACATAGACATAGTTCGGGTGATGATTCGGGTAATGAATCCCAAAATGTAATTAATTCAAATAATACACCTCATTTTGTCGTTGTGGCAATTGATTTTGGTACAACATTTAGCGGCTATGCATTTGCATTTACACGTGACGGTGGAGATATGATACATATGATGCGAAAATGGGAAGGTAAACAAATATATTAATCTGATTAGTAATCTTCTCAATCGAGGATGAATAGGCTTAGGAATTCGTATCTACTCTCAAGTAACGATATGTATTATAATTTTACTTTTTTCTTTCTCTCTAGGTGGTGATCCTGGTGAGTAATCTTAATCTGTTTTAGATGATTCATATAAATAAACTCTTTATTTCTGAAGGAGTTATCAATCAAAAAACACCAACAACAATATTATTAACACCAGATGGCACATTTCATTCATTTGGTTTTCTTGCACGAGATTTTTTTCATGATCTTGATCCAGATGAATCAAAAAAATGGCTTTATTTTGAAAAATTTAAAATGCATTTGCATTACACACAGGTTAGTATAATTTAGAGTAAACACGTTACCATCTCATAGTGAGCATTTTTCTATAGATCAGACGGACATGTAATAAAGTAGTATTAACCAAAAATAATCGCTTTCTGAATTAAAAAACCTACATGTGAAATGTTATTATAAATTAAGAAACCCGAATGTGGAAAAAAAGTTTTTTCAGACAAGAAATCTCAGAGGGGGACTCTTGCCCTGAATTTTTGTCGGAATTTTTTTCTTTAAACATGTTTTGAATAGACACCATTCGATGTGGTTTTATGTGCTGATTCCAAATATGTTGTTATTTTCCAATACAAGTGTTCCTGAGCTGAGAAAAGTAGATTGTACCTTAAAAACCAAGGTTTTTCGGAAACCCTGTAGCTCGACTTGGATAGATATGTGCATCTTTGATCATTTACCCTAGATAGAGCACATGTTCGGGAACTTGTTGGCATAATTTTAAGTCAGTTTTGACCTTAGCGAGCTTTAGTGATGTTATTGCGCTATAAACAGTGGTTGGAAAAACAACTTCGCTGAAGAAAAATCGTTACTTAGCCGCTAGAGTGTGACATAATTAAAAAAGTTTTTTTACAGTTCGATAGCTAAAAGTTTCTGAGTTTAAAATATGTCAAATTTGTGCTTTAAAACTGCTTTGATCCTAGAAAAAAATGGCTTGTCCTGAGAGGTCACTATTTTCTAAGTTATTTTTCGTTCCTTAATTTTTCTCAAAGTGGAAAGTTTTGGAACAAAAATTTGGAAAAAAATTTTTAGTGCCATTAGATAGTGCGTAGACTATAGTATATTTGACACTATTTGAATTTTGGAAAAGTGTACTTTCGACTTTTCGCTAATTGTCCGCCTAGATGCCCACTGTGCATCTAGCATCTATGAAACTTTATTACACAAATGTCAGTAATAAAAATGTATAGAGGCTAAAGTAAGATTCGCTTATTGTAACTATAGGCTGTGCATAAATGAATGATATGTTATGACATTATATGTAACGTTTTTTCTGTCAACGTTTACTAATAAGAAAAACTCAAAAAGGACATTGGCATGATATAAACGTCATAAACTTAGAAAGATAAATCTACTCTAGATAGAAAATCGTTTATATCTGAATGATGATGATAAAGTGTCTCTATTGACGAGTGAAATGATTATTGAAATAACAGACATCAAACATCATAATGACACACGTAGAATCATGTAACAACTTTGAATCCTTGCGAATTAAACACTTTTTGATATCTCTCTTAGATATATTATAATAGTACATAAAACACAAGCAAAATCGTTAATTTTTGTCGTTTTAGAATTATTTTTTTGTTTAATGTGCCGTTTATGTTCTTCTAACTTGTAGAAAAAAATCAATATTAATGAGTTTGAGGGCTCATATTTTTACCATGATTCTAGTTGACCGATTCAATAATGTATCATGTTACCAGCTTGACCAGCGTTTAAATTATATCTCGATGAACAAAATTTGTTTCTAGAGTTATAACAATATGGTAATTAGTATGTTAGCTTTGAGGCAAATACCATAAATCAGTTTATTTATTTGTTTTGTTTTTTTACTTTTTTGATTATACATCTGTCCCTTCCACACGAAGTGGAAAAATTTATTGACATGAAGGGTGTTTATGAAGAGGGGAAAATGATCCATATTATACGTAGGCAGTATGTATCGGATTGGAACCATTATGTAATAGCAAATACACTAATCATATTATGTAAACTGTTTACTTAACCACTTAATAATCGTCGTATGAAAAATAATAGACTAAATAAAATATGTAATTATTGATATCCTTTCGTTTTCGTTCTTATTTTCTAATATATACATAATATACAACCTCACATCATTATAGATGAACAAAAACATTTACGTATGTATAGTTGAGACTAAAAGGAAAAAAAAACACTTTGCGGTTTATGAGTAAAGAACAATGAAGGTGACTTGCTTAATGAAAAACAGAAATGAACAGCTGCACTATTATTAAATACAGTTTTCTAAACAAAAAATTCATATACCTACATTCATACACATACACATACACATACACGAGAAGAAAGAGAGAGAGAGAGAGAGAAAAAACATGCATTTCTTAATAACACCAAGCTAGAAATTATATAACTTTCCTTCTAAACGAAGAGAAAAGACTGCTGATAAACAGTCGTATTTAAATGTCAAATATAAGTGATTTATAACTGTTAAAAATACTTATTTTTTCTCCAACGAGAATAAGGAATATTGCATCGCCTGTATTGAATTATAGATTAGTATTCCCATTTGTTTGATGGTCTTTCATCATAATTTGAACTAATTTTGTGGATATCAATCAAAACAAAATTGCGTATGGTTGCTGTGATTTAGTCTCGACTGGTCCCTAATTACTCATACTCATTTTTTATGTCGTTTATAGACTAATTAGGGACGAATCCAGAGAACATTGGTTTCTGTTGATCTTGTACACATAGTAAATCAAACTTTTGATACCAGTGAAACGTTACATAAAATAACTGTCTGAGCAGGAAATAATTCCTAAAGTTAGATTAGTAACTTGTATTGCACCTTCTATTAAATTAGAATAAACGGTGTGTGTAGGTAATCGCTTAGTGACCTTCTTTCCAAGTTAGATCCATTATATATTCATATCCTCAGATAGAATTCACATCTTATGAATATGAATGATCTGCATTCTTATTGTTGTCTAACATATAATTTGTGAACTAAAATAGTTCTACTGCATCAGGTTTAAATTTTTATGTTTTTTTGCTGCTCTTTTGAGATATCTTCATTGTCTCTGAAAAATCAGCAGTTGATCTGTTCTAGACATTGGAATTTGAGTCCAAAAAGATCAGAACTGGTATTTTTAGCATCGTCAAATAATAAGTTTTCTCTAAAACATTTCAACCCTTAAACTCGTATTTTGCGCATAATTTTAAAACTTATAGATGCTATCATCATTTTATCGAGGTTGAAATTAAATTTTGTTTGTAGTCTCCGAAGTTTCAACGAACTTTTTTTGACAGAACACATGCACAATTTGAAGCATAAAGTATGAAAATAAGGATTGATACGAGAAAAGCACATTCAATCAGGCCTATTATGTCTGCAGCGCCAGCTAATGAGTAATTTCTGCTTCTCGACTAGATAATAGTTATAAGGTATATAATTCGTTTCTGAACATATATTTGAATTAAGTTATCGATCTAGATCTTTCATTTTGACATTAAGCCTGACAAATGTGTATTGTATGTGATACGTAAGTCTTCATAGAAAAATACATTAATCATATCTAACAGAATATAATTAAGCGTATTTATGATATATTAAAGTGAAAACTCGACAGCAGCATAGTATTTAAAATATGAGATATTGTTTTGACATAACTATCGATCATAATAGAAAGATTAAGTTAAAATTGAGAGATAATAACCGTTTGTTGAAGTAGATATGCTAGTTGAAAACCATTAGCCTGTAGATTGATGAAAAACTTTTCTTATTTTACTGGAAAGGCGCAACTGACTGGATGATAGAAGTTCTAGAAAAGTTCAGACCCAAATTAACATTTCCGAATCTGTTTGTTATTGTTACCGTTACTGCGATATGGCAAAAAAAGTGATATGGCCATGCAGGCAAAAAAATCAGTCGAAGGCATCGTAAAGTCCCTCGGATCATAGAGACTTGGAGTCTGTGAGGAGCTCGGAACTTTATTTTTGATCTTTCATAACACTTCGAGTGCTCGTCGGATTGTTCTAAGAACCCGTAGAGTACTCAAAGTTTTCTAAGAGATCGAAAATAAGATTCCTAGTCCCTTACAGACTTATTTCAAGGACTTAAAGTCTCATTTTCCTGGGCGATCCGGAGGCATCATTTCGATGTCTCGAAAGTCTAATTGGGTTAGCCATATTAAAACAGCATCTCTTATTTTAATTACTAAGCAGCTATTGAATTGCACTTTTATCTTCGTGCAGTAGGGTACAAAGTGTGCAAAATTTGAGTGATCAACATGAAAATTCTGAATGATGTAACTCGATAGGGATTTCGGTCTTTGAGTATGACGTATATATCTCCACGGCTGGTTCGATCGGGGGGTGGGGTCGTGGGGATAACCTCCCCCCAATAATCGAAATATTTTTTTTCATAAAATTCACAATTTACTACGCGATCACATTAAAAAATTTATCGATCTCCCCTCCCCCCAATCTTGGAAACCTCGCGCCAACCCTGTCTATCTCTATAGCTAACACCTTCATTTGTGTTTCTTTTTATTAGGATTTAAATACTCAAACGTTAATAGCCGCAAATAATGGACGAAAAGTACCAGCATTAACAATCTTTACTTATGCATTAAGCTATTTTAAAGATCATGCTTTGCGGGAGCTAAGCGATCAATCAGGCACAAGATTTGTAAATGAAGATGTACGTTGGGTAATTACAGTTCCAGCTATTTGGAGACAACCGGCAAAACAATTTATGCGTGAAGCAGCCTATCAGGTCAGTAAATAGATCGTTTCTACATTAAAACATTGTTCCATCTTTGTATTTCATCAGGCTGGAATAGCATCACGAGAATTTCCTGATCAGTTATTAATTGCATTAGAACCAGAAGCTGCATCGATTTATATTCGAAAACTGAGAATGCATCAATTTATGCCTGATGAACCGTACACCCGCACAATAACAAGACGAGACCATTTTCCATCATCATTGTTTTCAGATCAGTCACCGGTGATTGCCAACTCTGAGAAATGTAAATGTTTGTTGTAAAATTCAAAAACTCTTTATGTCATAGTTTTTCTTCTCATTATCTATTTAGTGTCGACAGACCATGAATCTCACATAAGTAGTACACTTGAATTAATGTTAGAGAGAGGTAGGTTAAGATAAACAAAAAATCAGAGTTTGGCTTACTTTTTTTTGCGGGTTGCCTAGGTGTGCAAATTCGGCAAATGGTTTTTTTGTTAAGGTAGTATTTGTTGTTGTGCTTCTATGTTGTTAGTCTATATGTGTTAGAGAGCCATATTATTTGTCTCGTACATTAAAAGCTTTGATTTCTATTTCAGGTACTCGTTATATGGTTGTTGATTGTGGTGGAGGTACTGTGGATATAACTGTTCATGAATTAGATACTAAATTAGGAACATTGAAAGAATTGTATAAAGCAACTGGTGGACCATTTGGTTCAGTTGGTAAGAATGAAGTAGCAGATTTTTGTTCTTGAACATCTTTGATACACAATACATATGTATTTTAGGTGTTGATCAAGAATTTGAAAAATTAATGAACACAATATTTGGTATTGAAGTAATGGAAGAGTTTAAAATGAAACGTCCAGCGGGTTATGTTGACTTAATGATTGCATTTGAAGCAAGAAAACGAACAGCGAGTCCATACAAAAATAATCCATTAAATATATCATTACCATTTTCATTTATTGATTTCTATAAAAAGAAAAAGGTATAAAAATGATGTTTTCGAGTTACCTACCCATCATTATTTCTCGTTTTTTTTTCTTCTACCCACATCTGTGCATGATCTACCGATTTTTTATTTTGTGCATTTAAAAAGTAAAGAACACGAAAGGACAACAAGATGAAGATCTACGTTGCAAACTATTATTCTTTTGAAATCTTCGTGCTAGAAGAACATTCGACAGATATAATAAAGACTAAAAAAACATCCGTTGTATCATCCACGTTGCTTTCTCTGTTTATGTCTTTTTTCTCTTAAGCCTTTCGCTACTTACACAATCGTAACGATAAATCACAGGGAGGTAAAACCTTCATCAAAACTTCTTCTGAAGATATAAAATACACATATTTTTTACTTGGATCTTCAAAGCCATTTTTTAGCGGGATATATCCAGAGCCGCAAAAAACGGGGATGCATACCCCCAAAATAATTGAAAAAGCTGTTGTTATTTTATTCCTCAGAGAAAAATTTTGTATTACATCTCCCTAATCTTCGGCTTCTATTTGTGGCTCTGGATATATCTATGCCTATGGGAACATATGCGTTGGCTAATTTGAGAGTACAGAAGCAAGTTTTTAGAGTTTTTGTTCCCTTTACGGCTTTCATAATACTTTCTGAAAAAAAACAAAATTACAGTAATAGAAAGAAGAGACTATGAAATACACAACTACGTGCCTTTCTAAAAGTTGAAATT